CCACCCCGCACCACCCCGGATTCCACATGCTACATGTGCTACATGGAAGTTTCCACCGACCCACCCCGCACCCCCCGGACAACACATGCTACATGTGCTACACATGCTACTTGACGGCATGTAGCACGAGTAGCATCAAGACCGGCACTCGCAGGGACGAAGAGTCTAGGGTTTAGGGTTCTAGGGGTTCGGGTTCAGAGGGTTCGGGGTTTAGGGTGAACGCGGCACTCAAGCGCTCTCTGTGGCCCCGACGTCTGCTCCAACTGACCTGCTCAACAACCGCTTTCGAGAAACTCAACTGCACTCACACGCTCTCCGGGGCCTTGCTCCAGCTGACCTGGCGCTGGGTGGGCTGGATGGGCAGATGCGTGGCGCTGGATGAGTAGATGCGGCGCTGGAGTAGATGCGCGGTGCTGGATGAGCAAATGCAGCGGCGGGCCACGCAGGCCAAGGGTAAATCGGGTAAACGGCGAGGGTAGCTGACGCGAGAGGCCTCCAGCGGCATTTGCCCCATTCACCCCATTTACCCCCCATTTACCGGGCCCACAGTTGACTCAGGCATTGATGGGCCATGCCCAGCCAGCTGCCAGCCAGTCTCCCAGCCCTGGAGGCGCAGTCCTGCGGCCTGAGCGCGCAGGCGCCAGATGAGCATCGGTGGAGCCCCCGCCAGCCTCGGCGGGCCATCAGCTGGCCGGCGGATGAGCTTCGGCGGGCCGGATGAGCATGAGCAGTGGGCCGGATGAGCATCATGAGCATCAGCGGGCGAGCGGATGAGTATGAGCCGGCGGGCGGATGAGCATCGGTTGGGCCAGATGGGCATCAAAGGGCCATCAGCGGAGCCTCATGAACATCGCGGGTGCGGTGGGGGGGTGTGGTGGGTGTGGTGGGATGAGCATCAGCAGAACCGGAGGAGCATCAGCAGGCGGGCAAATGAGCATCGCCGGGACGGATGAGCCATGCAGCTCGTCAGTTTGGATCAAAAACGAAAACGTGCCAAAAAAATGCAGGAACTCGGCTCACTCACAGTCTACCGCAAACAGAACCCTTGCAACTGCGCTCGATACCTGGGAAGGAGTTTCTCAAATGGGGCGATTATGTGGGATCTATGTGTTTTCTAGAGAAATACCCATATTTCCCGGGCTCCGCTCAGCGAAAAGCCCCCAGCAAACGAGCTTGATGAAGAGGAACCTGAGAGGGGGGGTTAGTGGGAAGGGTTTTAGAGGCTAAAGGGCGTGGAGTTGCAGACGCGGGCTCGAACACTCAACCCTACTCCTAGTAACTCCTACCCCTTCCCCGGCAAACGGCGCACTCACTTGATACCTGAGGGGTGAAGTTTTGGGGTAAATCCCCCCAGGCTCCACTCGGCTTCTCTCAAAGGCCCTCCATCTGAGCTTCAAACGGGACAGATGACCGTCTCGAGCATCAGCGGAGCCTTGGCTGTGCATCCGCGCCGCTTGGAGTCGACCAAAATCAAGCCTAATCCGCACTCCCGCTCATTCCTAAGATTCATCACGATTCAGAGGGTTTTCGGGGTCTGAATGACTTTATGAATCTCACCCGTGCCTTTTCTGGCAGCCTTCACCAAGCCTCTCACAGAGACAAACCCATCCCCACTTTACTTTTATAATCCACCAGCAAACCTGAAAAGGCAGGAGGGTTTCGCAGCTGGCTGACAACAACCATTCAGAGGCGCCTTGAATTCACTTCCCTCTATGCCCTGACTCACAACCATGCCCTGCGGTGCCTGGGTTTCACTCCAGGCTTTGGCCATGGGTCGGGACGAGCCACCCCCCTGACGGCTTCAGGATGCAAAGAAGCGAGACGAAAGCCACCGCAAGTGCTGCAGACACACC